GCACTTCCTTCCTTCCTTCCTTCCTTCCTTCCTTCCTTCCTTCCTTCCTTCCTTCCTTCCTTCCTTCCTTCCTTCCTTCCTTCCTTCCTTCCTTCCTTCCTTCCTTCCTTCCTTCCTTCCTTCCTTCCTTCCTTCCTTCCTTCCTTCCTTCCTTCCTTCCTTCCTTCCTTCCTTCCTTCCTTCCTTCCTTCCTTCATTCCTTCATTCCTTCATTCCTTCATTCCTTCATTCCTTCATTCCTTCATTCCTTCATTCCTTCATTCCTTCATTCCTTCATTCCTTCATTCCTTCATTCCTTCATTCCTTCATTCCTTCATTCCTTCATTCCTTCATTCCTTCATTCCTTCATTCCTTCATTCCTTCATTCCTTCATTCCTTCATTCCTTCATTCATTCATTCCTTCATTCCTTCATTCCTCATTCCTTCATTCATTCCTTCATTCCTTCATTCCTTCATTCCTTCATTCATCATTCCTTCATTCCTTCATTCCTTCATTCCTTCATTCCTTCATTCCTTCATTCCTTCATTCCTTCATTCCTTCATTCCTTCATTCCTTCATTCCTTCATTCCTTCATTCCTTCATTCCTTCATTCCTTCATTCCTTCATTCCTTCATTCCTTCATTCCTTCATTCCTTCATTCCTTCATTCCTTCATTCCTTCATTCCTTCATTCCTTCATTCCTTCATTACTATCAGCTGCGTTTTTTTCCTTCTTCCTTCCTTCCTTCCTTCCTTTTCCTTCATTCCTCCCTTCCCTTCTTCCTCCTTCATCCCTTCTCTTTTGCCTCTTCCTTTTTCTTCCCTTCAGCTGCTCAGCCAGTAGGTATTTCGGGGATGGGAGGGCGTCATTTGAACGCGGCTGCATTCTATCAGGGATAATATTATTCTGACACAACTGCAATCATGTCTTTCTTCAGCACAAGACAGGATGGCGGTCGTCTCAAATGAAAATATGCCTCAAAACTCATCTCACACCATGTTGAACCATGTACGTGTCCACGCCCTCTTCTTGGGGTATGGAGGTGTTTAGGCGGAGTTGGACTTCTAGCCTGAAATGGGTCATATTGGATGCAGCCTTTGGCCGATCGGTAAGCGTGCTATGATTTGGCCAAGGTCACCGTTCGCACCTTGTGGTTAGGCAACGGGGTTACATGAAATTTCACCTTTTTTTCCTCACACAACGGCTGTTTAATGATCTTACCATTCCGAGAAAAACAAACCATGGCTCTCATCCCGTCCTCTCGTTCGATATAGTTCTAGGCATATATTCGTCTAGTGGGGCGAGTCAACAATCAAGAATGAATTCTACGGAAAATGCTCCCCAGCACAGGTGTGATTTCAGGCAACGATACCCCACTAATTACCGGGCTCTTGGAGCGTTCTCTCTTCGACAAGCCAGAAACGCTAAGGATCCGAAACTTACCGAAAGGTTAAGCTTTTTTTAATAGAGAACTTGAGATAAACCGCGGGATAAGGCCTGGAGCAATGCTCTCGATAAGTTTCGTTCGGCCGCCGGCCAAGAAATGGCAGTAGGACACCTTCCCTTCCCCAGCATGACAATAGGATTGCCTTGTATGCTGGCTTTTTAGGGACCAATCTTGGGGGCATTTTAGAAGATCCCGTTGTGCCAAAATTAGCGTTACCCGCTGACTAGAGATGCGAATGTTATACACAGTTCTTAATGGGAGTTCCAGAAAGGGTAAACCAGTTTGAAGTAGTTTTGTTGTTGTTGTTGTTAGTTCTGTTGTGATGGCATTATCCCAGTACAGCGAGAGTCTTTCAAATAAAACTCTTTGTTAGTCGCCGCGACGCACGTTCTACTAGTCAAATGGGCCTTCGAATATCGTTCCAGACACTGCGGCACGAGGGGAAGGTTGGCGCGGCGCGTCGGCCCTTTTCCACCAGTTGTTGTCGATTGCCCGTCTCCGGAACTGATGGAGAACGGGCTGGCGTCGCACTAAACCTTCCTGACACGCTTCAGCATCTGTAGCGAAAACGAGTACCAACTCCATTGCTACCAATAGATGAGTATGTGCTTTTCAAGAGGGAAATGATTGACGGTCG